TTATTAGTTTGTTCATAATACTTGTTTTATTATCTTTTTAAAAATTATCTTAAATTTAAAAAAAAAAATTACCTTCAATTATAAAAATCTTATTTTTCATGTCTGCTGAAATAATCAAAGACTGGCAAAGCCCTTCATATGTCACTGGAATGTAGCATTTATTGTCCATTCACCAAACTTTGTACCCTTTGACACTGCATTGCATTCTTCAAGAATTTTGTTTGTTGTCATATTGGTGGCATGTGTGCATTTTTGAGCCTGGTTGCAGCTGGTTGGCTTCATATTCAATAAAATGTTTTCTTCACGATTGACTGAGCAAGAAAGGTAACTCCGCTATGCTCATACTTGGTTTCATCTAATCTCCCACATTGGTTACTAACTGATCTTTTGCTGAGTGCATGTGATATTTATTAAGATCTGCCAGCCTTTTCACTTCATTAATTTCAGAATATTTTATTTTATAAAATTTCAATTTAGTTAATTTTTCTTTTCTGGTTTGTTCGGATTTTTACCACTTTTATTTCTTTTGATTTTCTTTTAATTTTAAAACTTTTTGCTCTTTGGCGTTTCCTGCCTTATTTTAGAATATAGCATAAACATATGGCATCATTGAAAAATGTTGTTATTAATTAAAGGGAATGAATTTTTAAAATAACTTATTTTTTGACAAGTTGAGAAATTGCTGAAATGAAAATATTCAGCTTGTTAGCAAATTCTATTTTCTTTGTATTTTGTTGTGTATATTTAGAAAATTCAGGGCAAATAAAACAAGATTTGATATGAAACTTAAGTGACCAAAGAACATTTGCAATCCAAACTAATTTTTAGATACTGTGTAGCAGAAAACATCAAACCAAAAATAAGTATTAGAAGAGAGGAGAAAAAATTCTTTAAACATGTTGTTATTTTTTAATAATTTTTTTATTCATTTGTTTATTGTTTGTTTTTATGGCTTTTCTTTTTACAGTTGTAATTTTTAGGTTGGATGTTGTTTCATGTAAAATAAGTTTTTAAAATAGGAATTTAGGAAAAAATATAAAGGACTTCATGTATCTACTCATGTATAACTGACTTCATGTATAATGTGACCCCGGATTTTTTTTTTTTTTTTTTTTGCATGAGTTTTAACCCCTACAGAAAAATTACCTGTGTATAGTATGACCACAGCATATTTTTTACATAAAAAAACTGGTCATAAAAATTTGCACTCTACTCAAGTATATGCAGTAAATGATTTTAACAGAATTCATTTATTTGGTTAGCACATTTTGTGCCACCACTATGGTCACCACTCTCCTCCATCTCACAGTTGTACTTCATGGTGACATTCAAGGCAGAATAGTGGAATGGTTTGCTGATTCTTTTTGCAGTGGGGATGTTGATATCCCCTTGTCTCTCCTCTTGAAGGTGGATTTGTCTTTTGAAGTTACTTTCTTCTAGCCTTTGCCTAAAGAGGCAGGACCTACAAGACAGCAGGTGGTTTGAATTCAGAGTTTCCTTCTCCTAGACTGGTTGCCACTCAAAGCTATAGGACCCAGTTTGTCCTGCTATTTTATCCATAGCTGAAGGAAGAAGAGATAGATTTATACTTTTCCAAAGGCTATAGGCACATAAGTAATGGGGGCACCATGACGTGGTATAATGGTTAGCAAGCTTGTCTTGCTACTTTTGGCCTTGTGCCACATCTAAGCTACACTTAGAAAATCACCACAATAAGTGAATGTAATGAACTGGATTGGAATTCAAACTCTGCTCTCTGATTCCTCAATCTGAGCCGCAAACCATTACTCTACCATGCATCCAACTTTTAGGAGAATAGATTATTATTAATTAAATAATTTTATTTTTTATTGAACTAGAATCGTGATGTTTGGTTAAAATATAAAGATGCCTAAAAATACTTTCTTATAAGCTGGTGCTTTTTTAAAAATTTATTTTTCATGTTAGTTGATGTGAATTTTTTATTATGTACATTTCTGAAATTTGTGCATTCATAGTTTGAGACCAAATCTTGTAAAAAAAAAAAAAAAAAAAATATTAAGTTAATTTTCAAATATTTGTGCTTTATTTAATGAATGCAGTTGTAAAAAGCAGTTCTGTAAGTTTTACATGTGCCTGTTAATAATTAGTGACAGAGAAGATGTGAGAATGAAGAGATGTTTGAAAGAGCAGTCATAAAAATAAACTAAGTTGATGAACAAGGACATGACCACATTTAATTCAGCACTGGTGAAGGACAATTGAGATTCCCCCGTCTCCTCTTTTGTATCAACAGTTTGCAAATGGCAAATGAACAGACACCAGCAAACTCACATTTAATATTATTGTATAGTGTAAAGAGATTTAATTGTAGCTTTCTTTGAAAAGGAAGTCAACAGAATAAATTTCTCCCTGCTCTGCCTGCAAGTTATTGGCACTATGCCAAAGTATCCAAAAATGTATTCAGTGTTTGATTTGTTATTGAAATATGTAATTGGTCTTTTTATAGACATGATTTGCTCTTATTACTTTTACAAACATTATTAAATCACTTTCTGTGACATTCTATTGTAAAACTGAATAATTGATTCTTTGCTTTGTTCTCCAGATGACTGTTTTTTTTGTTTGTTTTTTTTTTAAATTGTTTGACATCAAAGCTGAAGAAAGGGGTTTTGTAAGAAAATAATTTCCTTGATGGCAGAGAATAATTCAACAAAAAATGAAATAAACAAAATGGGTTTTCTTATATTTGTAGAGAAAAGAATTTTAAAATAAATTAATTTATATTAGAATATTAATTTTTTGAAATATTTAAAAGTTCTTGGTTTAAATTGATTCAAAGGAATTTAATTTCTTTTGATTGTAGTTTTTGTAATTCTGGATACAATTAATATTTGCTTATGGAACATACTGGATACAATTATATTTTCTTTTTCATACAGGCTTAAAGCCATAGCACATTGAAACGATCAATGAAGTTAAGCAATGTTGAGTCTGGTCAGTTCCTAGGTGGGTGACCACTTGGGAATATTAGGTGCTGTAACCTTGGGTATGCGGGTGGTGTAATGGATGATGGTTCGGAATTAGAAATCAAAAAGCCAACTTCCAATTTCAGTCGGGTTTGTTATATTCATTTATGCTCAGATGCCTTTGGAATAAGCATGAATCTATCTTTTCTCTCCCCAGCTATGAGTTAAATAGTAGGACTTGTATCAGTAAATGTCTATCATCTCCCAAAAATTCTTACAATCTAAAAATATTTTCTGACTTTAAATAACCTGCAAAAGGTTGATAAGCTGTAGGAAATAAATCAGTTATCCTTTTCAAACTTTGACACATTTTACAGCACATTGCAACCATAAATTATTCTAAATACAGAGAAATAACCTTTCAGTGCTTAGGCAATCATGGCTCTCCACAGTTTCTTTTAATATATGTGAATTGCTTTGACGCCTTGGGGAAATATAGTGAGGTTGTTTCCTGTTGCCTTCTCCATGGTTTTAAATTAAGAGTTGTCCTTCTCTTAGACTGGCTGCCACCCAAGGCTAGAAAGCCTAGTCTACCCTGTTATATAACGAGCAAGAGTCAAAATAAATTCATGGGTATTTGTGCAAAGAGAACAAAAGTAGTAGATTCAAGGATATTTGTACCAAGTGAACACAATTGACTAGGCCAGAATTTGAACCCTCATTGATTTCTCACTAATAATTGTTCCATTACTCACACATTCAAAAATTATTTCCAAGTGTTTCTGGAACTGAGAAGTTAAGCTTTTTTTTGCTGGTGGTGATGCAGTCAACAAAGTGAAACATTTTGTAACTTTTGTATTAGATTAAATATTCTTAATTGCAATGACAACTACAAATTTCTGTTGTTATTTGCAATTGACTGGTAGAACTGTAAGTTCACATCTGTAATTGAAGGGTTAATAAATACAAGCAGTATAGGAACGGTTTCACTTGGATACCTTGCAGTTATCTGACCAATATTTTAAAACAGTTTTCAGACAGTAAAATGTGTCTTTATTTTATGGCATATAAGGAACAAATAGTTACTAAAATATTCAGTTTCATTATTTGTTTTTAATTGTTTCACCCCAAGCTAGGTGATAATACCACTAAGATACAAGGGGATTATTAGGAGTGGAAGAGAATTAAAAAACTTGAGTGAGGGGAAAGGACAATAAAAGAACAGGATTTCAGGAATACAGAAGATGACGATTGACATTGCATTTTAATTTTTGAAGATTGTAGGTGACAGAGAAGCATGAAACTGAAAGAGAGTTCAATAGGTCAATAGAAGTGTGGGAAAATAAACTATCAGAATAAGACTTATGGTTACATTTAGCTATTTCAACAGTAAAATGATAAAACATAGTAGCTAATCAGGGACAATGCTTAGATTCATGCAGTTGAGGTACCATGGAGGAAAGTTCATCAGAACAGTTGCCATGAAAATATTTATAGAAAAGACAGAGGGAAGCCATGTCATGGTGATGGAAACGTGACTGAAGTCAAGATGCCAGGTCAGGACTGATTACATTACAGACCCTTCTTTAGATTTTGTTGAGAATATTGAGATATATTGCATCTATGTAGAAAGGTGAAGCCACTTTGTGAGCAAGTATATTGCACTGTCATAAAATTAAATTTATTTCTATCTCTCTTAGCTGAAACAAGGTAACTTTCTTTTATGTGCCATGGCTCTCCACAACTTCCTGATCTTAGTTGCAATTTTTGACTCTTACCGTTCCTCTTTGTCTCTGCTCAACCATCTATTCAAATAAACTCATTAGGTAGGTTACTTGCAATTTCCCTTTTTCCTTTCTCACCTTCATTATTATGTTTTTTGAGTCCAAGTCCTCTTTCTTCATTTATCCCAGAAATGTTAACTACTTTGTTCTGTTTTTAAGTAAAAGTGTCTTTCTAGTTCCCATTTTCTGTATAATTTTCCTGTTGTTCCTATATTCAGTTCATGGTATTCTCAGCATACCTCTGTAGAACCAGGAGTCTCTTCTATTGTAAGGACCGGTTCTTGTCCAATCACCGAAGTTAAGCAATGTTGAGCCTGATCAGTATCTAGATGGGTGACCACTTGGGAATAGGA